GGGGGGGCGGGTGTTTGCTGTGGGCCCTGCGTTGTGCCTGCCTGGGTGTGCGGTGGGAACAGAGACATTGTGGTTTGGCACGGTGTTGTTTCGTAGAGAACCGTCCCCCCCCCATCCCCAGTTAAGTGAGCGGCGGCTGCTGGTACGTGTCGCTGTGAGGCTGGTGGCGTGGCTCTGGGGAGCCTGGGTACAGGCGAGCGGGTGGCAAGTGAAACTGGGCGTTAAAAGTGGTAATAGGATCATAGAATGGTTTAGGTTGGAAGGGACCTTAAAGATTGTCGAGTTCCAAGCCCCCTGCCATAGGCAGGGACACCTCCCGCTACACCAGGTTGCTCAAAGCTCCATCCACTCCAGAGGCCTTAAACACTCCACAGATGGGGCATCCACAGCTTCTGTGGGCAGCCTGTTCCAGTGCCTCACCACCCTCACAGTAAAGAATTCCTTCCTAATATAAATCTACCCTTTTGCAGTTTTAAAACTTAACCCTTGTCCTCTACTGCAGTCATTGGGAAAGAGCTCCTGTAGGCACCCTTCAGGTACTGGAAGGTTGGAATATGTTCTCCTCTGAGCCGTCTCCAAGCTGAACAACCCAAACTCTCTCAGCCTGTCTCCATGGGAAAGGTGCTCCAGCCCTCTGAGCATCTTCATGGCCCTCAGGACTCAATCGAAAGCGTCTATGGCCTTCGTTCGTTGGGGGTCCCAGGGCTGGATGCAGGACTCCAGGTGGGGTCTCGCTGTCGGTGACAAACACATAACCACTGGAACACAGGCTACCCAGAGAACTGGTCATGGTATCAAGACTGTCAAGAGTTGGGGAGTGCTTAAATGACGTTCTTAATCATACACTTTAGTTTTAGGTAGTCCTGCGAGGAGCAGGGAGTTGGACCTGATGATCCTTATGTGGGACCCTTCCAACTTGAGATATTCTGTGATTCTGAAATTACAGTTAGCAGAGATATGAAGGAAAACCACTCCTATGCACAAAGACATCTCCTGGATCCACTGCTATGCCTTCTCCTCCGCGACTAACCTATAGTAACACACTGCAGGGTGTAAGCTGGATGCTGACACAGAATGCCGTAGACAAAGCATGCTGTAACGGCGGTGGGCGAGGCTTCACCCCCTGCGCACTCACCCCAGCTGCACTATAAAGATAAACTGCACGAGGTGGACCGCCTTCAGAAGGTCGTAAGCTTCGAACAGCCCCACGGCCTTCAGGAACTTGGTGAAGCACAGCAGCACGATGTAGCGGGTCAGCCTGCGAAAGGAGAGCGGGCAGTTCCCACCTGCGGCCACGCACACGGCCCAGGCCCAGGCCAGGCCCGGCCGCCGGGCCCGCCTCCTCCCCGCCGGCCCTGCGCCTCAGGCGGAGGCCGCCGCTCCCGGAAGGCTGAAGGGCGATTCCCGCCGCTCCCCAGAAGGACGGAGAGCGACGGGCAGCCCCCCCCCGCCTCAGCGGGGCTGGCCGGTGTCCCCCCTCGCCTAGGGGAGGGGCCGCTCCCTCCCATTCCCCCCGCCGCCGTTACCGGGCGCTGGGCACATCCACGGGCCCCAGCACGCCGCCGCCGGCCAAGGCCTGCCCGCTGTACTTCTCCTCCATGCCGGGGGTGGGAGAGCCTCGCAGGGGAGGGCTGCGAGCGCTCAGGCGCGGCGCGGCCCGCCTCCCCCGCGGCGCGGGCACCTCATCCTCCGCCACCGGCCGGCCGCCGCTGCGGGAGGGGACGGGGACGGGAGGGGAGGCCGCCCGCTGGCAGTGCGCAGGCGCCGGGCGCAGGCGCCTCTGCACAAGGGGCGGGAAGGGAGGGGTATCCGCCATTTGTGGAGCGCTGCGGCCGGGGGATAGGGATCTGTGTTCGGCAGCGGCGGGG